TACTGCTACACCCACACGCTCCCTAACCCTCTTCCTTCCGGGGAGGGCGATCCCGGCTCGCGGCGGCCTGGGAGGGTGGCGCCAGCCTGCGGCGGCCGGACAGGGCCCGGAGCGCGAGGCTAGCCGGGGACAGAGAGGCGCAGAGACGTCGCGGCACAGACTAGCGCCATGGGGAGGGAGAGGGGACGAAGAGAGAAGGGGCCCAGGAGGCCGAGAGTCAGCGCCCGGCCAGCCTCCTACGTTCACCCCTCTCCAGGCACCCAGCTTCTGGTTCTCAGCGCGCCCCTCAAATCCGCAGCGCGGCACAGCACGGCCTGGCGGTTTGCCGCGAGGGGGTTCGACAGGGCCAACTGCGGGGGGCGCCCCACGCAGGAGAGGAACGGAGGAAGGCTGGTGGGGTTCAGGCTGCGCGGCCACCCTGCCGGGCTCCACGGGGCCTCCTCTCCGGCACTCCACGTCCTCCAGCCCCTAAGTCAGCGGCACCCAGAGCAAAGAGCTCGGGGTGCGCCTGCGTCTCCCCACCGCTGTCGGCCGCCCTCCCATCCTGGCCCTAGATGCCTCCTCCAAGCAGCGTGGTCTGGGCAGAAGAACGCGGGTGGGGGGAGCCCTAGGAGGAAACTGAGGCCCGAGCGGGCCGCTGCATTTCTCTGTACCCCCCCAGCCTGACCAGGCGGGGTGGGGGTCTCTAAGACTTGCTCGGTCCCTAGCTCTGGACGAAAGGAAGGTGGCAGGCGAGGCGCTCATCCTGGGGCTGGCTGGCGTCCCAGATCCGCCCGTGCGCACTCCTGGCCCCCACCCGCCTGGCCTCGGCCAGGGCTGACCCGGCTGAGCTTCGAGCTGGGCTCGGTCCAGGAGCGCGCATCGCTCATAATCTTTGTTTAATGTTGCATTTCTAAGCTCCGTATTAAGCAGCGGTACGGGCGGCTGGATATTTAGTTGTATATAATTTACACCCTGATCCTGAATCGATCCGACACCTCCGGATGGAGTCTCTCTCATTTTTCACGCTCCTTCCGAGGTGCCGAGGTAATACTCTCTCATTAGAAGGCTGCGAGGCCTGGCTAATTTATCCAAACTGTCAGGGGTTTGTACAACCTCGGGTTAAAAATAAATCAGCAA